ATCCAATAAGGCCACACATCCTAATCATTCTCAAACACCAAACATTCCCACTAACTGGGGACAAATCAAATCAGCATATTCTCCCTTTGAACAGTATTGCACACAAAAATGTAAACACATTGCCAAAGCTCTTGTGAGAGATACCAATGCAGTGCATGCCCTCTGTTGTGTTTATAAAAAGATGAGAGAAGGAATATGTGTTTTGGTGGATGTGTGGGGGTTCCGAGGGCTCATGCGGAGGCATCCCTTCCCCTGAGGGACCAGCCACACAGTGTAGTATAGAATAGAGTTTATTCAAGGCATGGGGAGGGGAGCTGAGAGTGTAGGGGAATGGGAAGAGAGGAGGAAGAGGTGAGAGGACAGAGGGAGAGCAAGAAGGCAAGAGAGTAAGAGTGAGGGGAGGGGCCAGGAGTCCCTTTTATAGTGAGTCAGGCACACCTGGCTGTTGCCAGGTAACTGTGGGGCAGAGCTTAGACAAAATGCTAACACCCTCCCATCCTGCAATCTGCCTGCAGACCCCGCTGTACCAACTGCTTCTGTCTGCCCTTCCTGTCCATCTCTTTTCCATTGGCTTTTCTTACCATCTGTTTGTATAGCTTTAATTTTAATATCGTTTTGTGTGCTTGCTATGTGGATACCTATGCCTTTACTCACAAGAACAAGGAGGATGGAGACTACATTTTACATTTCTCTTTTGTCTCCTACTGTAGTCAAGAGAGGGAACAGGAAAAAAAAAAACGCTCAACAAAAAAATTCCTGAATCCAGTGCGGTAGGAAACAATACTGCAGGGACAGGCCAGTTGCAAAGTTAATTGGCAAATTTCCTGACAGCCTCTGGGAACGCCTATAATTTCGTATGCAGACATCCTATTTCCCTCTCTAGGGTCCACTGACACTCTGTTCCTAGTCCAGTTTTCCTGCTTTATATCTTGGTTCATCAGAGCCTATTAGGGAACTAATGAAAACTAGTGTCCTGATGGAGATGCATGCTTCCATGTGTATGTCTAAGGCAGTGTTCATGTATGCTGCTTATCCTGCATCCTGTCTCAGAGCATCCTCTTAGCAATTTATAAGGTGTGTGCGTATTTGCTGAATTCCTACTTCTCTCATAGATCTTGACCTTGAAAGCAAAAAAAAAAAAAAAAAAAACAGACCTGTTTGCTTTCCTTTCTCTAGTTAGGTAACACTTTGCTATGCAGCCCGCCCTGACCTAGAACTCACAGTCCTCAGTGCTGGCTTTACAGGTGTTCATCACCTTGTCTGGCTTGAATATCTACTTTGTTCACTCTATTAAGTAGCCTGCTTCAAACTGAGCTATGCTCCAAGAACATAACCTATATACGGATAAGTATAAATGTAGGGTGCCGGTCCTTAGTCACCTTATTCAATCTGAATACTTTGTCTTTGCCTTATGTTAAGTTGAAAACTAATTATTCCCCAATAATTCCAACCCTCCAGTCCAGAAGCTGAGCCCATCCACATTTTGATTCTTTGCTTTGGCCAATTACAGTTTCCAGGATCCGCTGAGACTTTTATGTTAGATGGTTATGATCTGAGAACAAGTTCCCTTCTGGGAATGGTTTATTTAAGTGCAATTTTAAAACTACTTTGTGAAGGATTTCTAATTGTTCCATAAGAAGACTGGGTTTAATGATAACTGTTTTAAAATCAGTACATTCTGTGTCATACAAAGCAACAGTCTTTCTTTGGCAAGCACATCACTGTAGCCCACGAAGCACTATATAGTCAGAAAAACTGGTAGAAAGTAGCTACTCTATGCAGTCAGAGAACTAGCTCGGACTCAGCAAAGGAATGAGCACAATACTCCTTTAACAAAGATGCAGGAGCAATGGATGAGGAGTGAGCTCAGCAGAGAGAAAAGCACACATTTTCCACTTTAATCACATACATGATGAAGCCACTTGTGCAGGTCGATTTGCAAAGACAGGAAAAGTCCCTGAGTGTGCTTCAGGCATTTGTGGAGTTTTTAAAACTGAAAATATTGCAATTCAACCTTTTAAATAAAAAAGGTATACAGAGGCATATTGTTGTAGATCATGAACATAGAACAAGGTGAAAATATACAGGGAGCAATGCTTGCCTGTCAAGGACAAGGCCCTAGGCTCAATAGATACCATAAAAAGAATGGGGGATTATTGAAATCTTAATTTAAAACCCATGAGGTTCTATCATTGTCTGGTTTTGAAGAGGCATTACATTTTTTCAGAGATCTCAAACCTAATTATGTTTACTATTCTGTTTCTAATCAGATATTTAAATGTTCAGCATGGCTGTAACTCACTTACTGTGTTGTTGAGAGAGAACAGACTAGTTACTGACATTAAGTGAACTTTCTTAGTCTTAACCTTAAGTCATGTTGGCATATTTGTGCTGCACATAAGGGCTCTCTTTTTATCCCATGTGTAGTACCTATATCTAATGTTATTTCTGTTTTCATGTCCACATCATTAACAGGGGTGACAGTGCTCTATATTAGTGACTGGCACCTTTCTCTGGAGTTGGAATCTTAAGGTGCTTTTACATTTACATAATTCTGTCTGTATATCATGTATTTATAAAATTCTGACTATATTCAGTAAGAAGATTATTTGAACATGCTTTTATTTGCACACTGATGAGCTCAGATTTTCCTGAAGACTTTTCTATTTTGATGAAGATTCAGAAGTGCATGTATTTAAAATAACAAAAACATAGCTACACATAGGGAAAGGTTGAGACTTGCTAAGACGAGAGCCAGATCTAGTTGCTTAAAAAAGAAAAGCATGTAGGAAGAGTGTATAATTTCCCTACTATCTTTGGGCTTGGAGAAATGCCCAGGTTAGTGACAAAGGAAACTTTGGGAAGAGACTCTAAATCTACCACACTGTAAGAGAGAAAATGGAAAATCAGATGGATAGCTTCATTTAAAAGCACAGCCAGGAAGAATCTTGGAGAGTTTCAAGACATAATAGTAGGATTTCGATTGATTTGCTTTTTGTCTAATTGAAATATTACTATGATTTACCAGTTTAAATTATTCTGCATAAGCAGCAATGCAGCTGTGAGGCATTAGCTACAGGCTGTAACCACGAGCTGCTTTCTGGCCTATTTTTCCTCATCCTGAAGTTATCCAGTCTTAAAACCCATTGCCCTCTTTGGCATTTGCCCATTTTAAATAATTTTATTTTACTTATATTAATTTTTTACTGATTTCTTGTGAATTTCACATCAAGCACCCCAGTCCTGCTCATCACCCAATCACTTCATGTCTGCCCTTTGCCCCTGCAGTCTCACCCCCAAAATGAAAAAACAACAGACGAGATCAAAGAATAGAGAACATCTCATCCTGTGTCTCAGTGTGTCCCGCTGTATAACCCTCTGCCCACACATTGTCACTTGGAAATGTTCATTGTAATGAGTCACTGGTCTGGTTCAAGGTCTCTGGTTTTTGAGGCCCCTCGATATTGAATTCTCACTGAACTTCCTTCTGGTTATCCTGTAGTTGCTCTGTGTCTTGGAGATTCTGCAGCTTTGGATCAGCAGGATTGGCCCTTTTACTTATTTGCAGATGGTATAGATTTTGGGGTGGGCCAACTCAGAGCCCTGGATTTGGGCTTGTGTGGTAGTTGAGTTGGTCAGTGAGCTGGCTCTCCCTTTTCTGGACACCAGGGAGAGCTCTCCAGCACTGCTCAAGCTAGGCCACCCAATGCTGGCATTGGCAGGAGGCAGGGTCAGCTCTCCTGCTCCCATGCCCTCTGGGCTGGCTCACCTGTGCCTTCACTCCATTGTGTTGCCCAGGTGCGGTGCAGGGCTCCACCTCCCAAGTGCTGTAGCCAGTGAGGGACAGGGCCAACTCATCTGCCCTCATGACCACATAGCCAGCTGTCCTGACTGCCTCAGATGAAAAAGGGTGATGCAGGAAGACCATCACGACTGTACCTATATTACCTCATGTACATTGTGTGGATGAGTGCCAGGACCAGCTATCTCTCCCTCTAGCCTTCTGGATTGACTCAACTTCCATCTCTCCTCCGGGTGAGAGGGAGGGCCAGCTCACCTGTTCTCATGGCTCTAGGGTCAGTTCTCCCAACTACCTCAGGTGGCAAGAGATAAGGGGACAAAGGCCAATACCCACCTCCGCGCACCCTCGTGGCTGGCACCCAGATCTGTCCCCATCATTGGGCCAGTTCTGCTGTACTGCCTCAGTGATATGCCGGGCCAAAGCAGGCTTGAATACTGCAGCTAGTGAGCTGCAGGGCTCTCCCATGGTCATGACACTGTAGGCAGCTTTCCCACATGCCAGGGGAGGCAGGCATTAACTTTGCACCCATGCGACTGCACAACATGGTCAGCTCTTCAACATTTATGCTTTTGGGCCAGCTTACAGACACCCCAAACACCAGGACCAGTTCCACTGTGCTGCCTGTGTGAGAGATGGGGCCAGCTCTCCAGCGCTCAGCAGCCGGTGAGGGGCAGGGCTGGTTTTGCACAGCCCGTGGACATCCACATGCTCCCTGGAGGCTGCCTCGACCACGGAGGTCTAGTGGTAATATGAGTCATGGACGTTGACACCGACCCCTGCCACTGTATAGCCCAGGATCCAGACATTGCTCTCAATGGCAGTTCAGGCTGGGACCTCACCATGGCCCCAGGCAGTGGGGCTGGGTACTCACAACTGGTCACTTCTCTCCACCCTCGAGTCTTCAGTTCCATCTCTCTTCAAAATGCTCAAGCTTCTCTACTTCTCTTTCTCTCCCATCTGACCACCATAAATATTGTGCATAGTGGTGACTCCTACTGCAAGATGGCGGGCGACGTGGCTGATGAGTCCAGCCTCCATCCTTGCTGCATGAAGTGGCGGGAAGCTGGTGTCTAGGGCCCAACTGTGCCATTTGCTGGAGGGCAGGTCTGTGGGTGGCATGGTGGTCCACAGGTGTGCCTATCTGTTTTCCTCCTCCTGTGCCGTACTGCCTGGATTTGATTTGATTTGATTTTGATTTTGATTTGTCCTAGGCATAAAACAGTTTTGGCCACTAAGCCAGGCATCAAGCTAGGATGAACAAAGAGCTGCCATCTGCTCAGCCCCTTTTATAAGAAAAACACCACCAAAAATGTGTCTTTGTCCATTGCCAGGGGGTAAAATTTTTTATTTGTTATTATGCATATCATGCCTATTTGTGTGTGTGTGTGTGTGTGTGTGTGTGTGTAGGGTTCCAGATCTCCTGGAGGTGGAGTTACAGTCAGCTCTGGGGTCTTAATGGGATGTTAGGAACTGAAGTCTGTCCTCTGGAAGAGCACCAAGCACTGGCATCACCAGTCACCTCTCCATCCCCTTTTATTGTTTTTTGAAACGCAATCTATCTCAGATTCATCCTTTTCAGTATTCTCATTCGGATGATGTCTTGACTCTAGAGTTCTGTTTCTCGTTGAATGCGTTCACCCAGGCTCTGGAGATCTGGATGCTCAGGCTTGAGGTGGGTGCTTTTCACAAGTTCCTAGCACTGATGATGCCTTCTTCTGTGGAAAGCAGGGATTTGAAGCATGGCTCAACAGCTTCTAATGTCACACACCAAGAGGTGTTTCTACAGCACTACTTCAATACGGGTTTTCCTTGGAAGGAAACCACCAGGAAGCTGACAAATCAAATCATTTTCTGAAGAGAGAATCTCTTGTACTGAATGGAAGCTTCACTCATCAATTAAAAGCTGATTGGCCAATGAGCTGAGGCAGAAAATAAGAGGTGGGAGTTTCTGTAAAGAGATGAACTCTGGGATAGAGTCACACTTCAAGGATTCAACCAGAACCTTGAGAAAGCTGGGCAAATGAAACCGAAGGAAAGGTAACTAGCCATGTGGCATGGTTTAGACTAGTTTAAACTGGATAACTGAGCTATGAGGTAGCTGAAATAAGCCAAAGCTATTGGCCTAGGCATTTATTAATATATAAGAAGTCTCAGAGTTGTTATTTACTAGAACTTGGGCACAGGTGGAAAAGCCAATGGTTACAATGTGCTGTCCTTTACCTGAAGTAACTTTCTCATGTTAATTCTGAAATAACTTTATGACCTTGATTTTTATGGCTCCCTTTTAATAATGGTGAACTTTTTAAAAGTAAAAGTCAGTCAAACTTTTATTTTATCTGTAGAGGTGTGTATCACCAGACAGTGTGGCCAACAGGCTTGCTAGCTGCTTTCCCACTAGTTTTCACATTTAATTCTGAAGAAAGGAAGGAAAAAGGAGGAGCCTTGCACACTCACAAGTGGATGGCAGGGAGGCACAGCTGTTTACATTTGTATGAGTATGGTGATTGCCTTCGTCTGGAGCAAAGGCAGCTGAGCTTCCTTGCTGAAATCAATATTAATGCTTTGTCCCTTTGATCTCTCTGGACACTTCAGCACCAGACCCCATGACTGCAATGCTGTGAATTACCCAAGCTCAGGTGTCCCTAGGCTGTGCATACTTTTCTTGTGTCTGTAAACTGACCTTTGGAGTTTTCCAGCTCAGTCTATTCTATGTCCCAGAGATAAGATGTTCAGCCTCTTCCATTTCTGTGGGGAGTAGTAATTAAGGCTCTCTTATATCCTCCTCATTAGATTTAGCTACCTGTGCCATACCCACTTTGTAAGAAAATCGACTTTCTAACTTCTGAAATAATTAATAGGGAATTAGGGTTATTTGATGTTGGAGGTAATGTGAGGTCAACTGATTAGTTGCCTCATGGATGAGGTAACTTCCTTCTGTGGAATTTAGTTGACTTGAACTAATTATATTTAATGGATGAAATCTGACCAATTAAATTTACTAGAAAATTATCATTTCATCTCTATATTGTTTTATAGAGTTGTGTACAATTGTCTTAAATTAGTCTCTAAAGCATCTTTTAGTGGTTATTTCTTTTCTGTACATGTAGGCAACTTATCTCCAAGTAAATTAGAAATTTCCCTCAAAACAAAGCATTTTAATTTATTTTTCTATTTCCTCTAAGAATTCCTTTCCTCCCTCCCATCCTTTTTCTCCCTCCTCGTCCCCTCCCTTCAACCTTCCTTGCCTGTTGTTTGCCTTGTTTCCTTTCCCTAGGATTTTGGGTTGGCATTATAGTTCCTGTATTTTTGTAGTTTCATCTCTATTAATATAAACGTTGATGGTTTTACATTTCCTTGTAAATCAAAATAGACATTTATTCACATGACCCCCAGTTACATAGCAGCAACATTTATGAGTGCATCTGTCTTCCCTATAGCTACTTCATTTAGGGCACCCTGTGTCTTGTTGGAAGGCTGGGGCTGATGATAGCAAAGGAAACCTTTGTGGCAGTGGGTTGTTTGGAGTTCAGGTCAAACTTGGCCCAACTCCACTGCCTCATAGTTACTCAATCTCATCTTCATGGTGAACTAAAAAAGCGAGGCAGATGTCTTTGGAGAAAGTATGCCCCTCTATGTCCTAACCTGTCAGGATCTCTCTCAGATCAGGATGGTTAGGAAGGAAGACTGTAGACAGGTTCCAGATCACCCCCTTATCGCACAGCAGAGTTGTACACAGAGATATGGGTTCCACCTGCGTTAGTCAGATCGCCTGGTTAGGTCCTCACAGGCTACAAACATGGTAAACCATTCTGCCAGGTTGAGCAACCCATGAGGTCAAGGACCTGAAATGTATGTCCATGTGATCCCTGAGAAATTCAGCACCGGGATGATGCTATATTCCATATCAGATGTACACACATGTCCACCTCAGTGAAGCAGGCTATCTGGCCCAAGTTGGGCAGGATTTTACCTACCACTCTCAGAGTTCCCAGCCTTGCACGACGATCTGGCCCTTCTGCAGCTGTACTCTGGTGCCTGTCAGCATTTTGGATTTCACTGTGGTCACAGGTCTGATTCTGTCACATATAAATTTTTACCCACAGCAACAGCATTGAGGATCAGTGGTCAGCGCAGAGGCCTCGAAGACCTTGAGCCACAAACTCCTGATGATGGTGGTGGTGGTGGTGGTGGTGATGATGATATTGGCAGCAGCCCTACTTTCCAGAAGAAAGCCTGTTCCTGTAATTTGTTTTCAATTTTGTCATTTTCTTTTTTGCTCTTGCTTGTGGCTTACATTATCTATTTCTCTATGATTTGGGTTGGTGTTTCAATTACTGTATTTTTGTTCTTCCATTTATATTGCTATAAATGCTCACAGCTTTGAATTGCCCTATGAGCACAGCATTGTCACATGTTAATTTTGTGATTATTATTTTTATAGAATATCTGAGATTCCATGTAGTGTCTCTCTTTGTATCACATTTTCAATTGGAGAAGACACTTTTTCATTCTCACTACTTTTTATTTATATGGTCAGAGAATATTGGAATAGTTCTACATTATGGATATTGAGAATTTCTATTTGACATAATGTGGAATCAGTTTATGTAAATATACTCTAGTCATTAAATTTTTGTATCATATTTTATTTGTTTGCTCTCTCTCTCTCTGTGTGTGTGTGTGTGTGTGTGTGTTCATGTGCACATGCGTGCCACAGTGCATATGTGCAGGAATTGGTTGTTCTCTATCACACTGGACTTGGGAATCCAACTCAAGCTGTCAGACTTGGCAGCAAATGCCTTTACCCTGTGAGCCATCTCACCAGTGTGAGGATGTGTAAGTTTTGATGACACATTTACAGTATACTCATAGGCACTTTCTTATTTGCTGTGTAGTAAGTGTTAATATCCATTCTGGGATTTTTTTTTTTTTTGCTTGCCTTTCTCTGCCTGGGGCTGCTGTTCCAAGGACCAAGTTCTTAGTATGTTTCTAGCCATTTCTTCTGTCATTTCCTGGGGTTTCTATGGTTTATATTATTTAAAAATACTATTTCCATCACTCGTTATATTCATGATAATTTTTATTGTTTTATTTACTGCCTTTTGACTTAATTTACAGCTACTCTAATTTTAAAATTGTTGACTCTGCCTCTTGCTTCTGGGAGAATATTTTCATCATTTCATTTTTCTCACCCCTAAATTTGTTTTAAGGGTGCTTTAGTATGTCGCCGAGGGTTGGGTCTCTTTAATGAGCATGAAGCGTGTCTGCATATTGACGAGCATAACATGGCTGATTTCCATGGGGACGTTATTTTATGCTGATGTGGTATATTCTCATACTTGCTTTTTGCCAAGTTGCCGTTTACTTGGTTTTTTTGAAGCGAGGGGCAGCATATTGTGCATCCTAGTGGTTACCTTTAATGTAATGCCTCTACTCCTTATGTAGGCCTCTGCCATTCAGCTTGTCCGTTTAAACTCCAGCCCTCTATCACACACAATCTTCAGTGAGTACATTTCTTTCCTTCCCACTTTTTCTTTTATATTCCAATTTGTCAGTTTTATATTTTTAACTTTATAAAGGTTATTATATCAGCTTCATGATCATTTTTCATCTTTCCTCTTCAGTTCCTGATCTATGATTACCTATACATAATGAGTTATACATATGTATACAATGTATATAATGAATCCATTGAAAATATATGTTCTCTCTGTTGTTCAGCACCTGCCCTGAAATGTCTCAATCCCTCTTTATTGGTAAAACCTTCTCCCTGTCCATCATTGAGGGAGAGCCCATCCTTGTGTCCCACACCCCAGGGCTGTTGTATGTCTAAAGCTGTCTTCTGTCTTTGAGGTTGTGTGCACAGGTAGCATCTGTGTGGTTTTCAGGGTTACAGATGGTCTCATGATACAACAGTGAAGTCCAGCTGTTAAAACAGATCGTGTTCTTGAAAGGGGAGCTTGTTTGTTTTCTGCTTCTAATTTTCTTTTCCTTCCTTCCTTTTTTGTTTTTGTCCTCCTTTTAAAATTTCTAACCTGCCTTCTTACTTTTCATTCCCACTGATATTCAGAGCGAGTGTGCAGCCTGGGCCCAACTGTTGTTCCCTCCTGCAGAAGCCCCAAGTTTCCCCAGCCCACTGCCTCTGTTCTCAGCACCGGCCCTCCACTTCTCCAGGACTGGGTGCTCTGGCTCACTATGACTCATCCCTGCTCTCAGAGCTGGTCCACCCTGGGGGTGCTTTTCCCTTCTGGGAGTGATTTATCCTCTTCCATTTCCACTCTTATTTCTTTTATTTCTATAAATTTAGTTGGTAGATCCATAGTACTTCTTTTTTTT